ATCGATGACTTTTACATCATTCGATGCAGCAGATAGTTGTTTATAGCTTCCAAAAGGCTGTTCTAATTAGGAGTATTGACTTTAATTTTGGGAAATAATCAATATCCATGTTCGACAGTTGATTGAGATATATAACAGTGCGTTAAGACCTACTGCTGTAGATAAATGGATATTTTCAAAAGCTTTATTTGCCATTTAATCCGATGCTAATAATAATAATAAAAATGTTAAGTTAGGAAAAACAAAATTGAAAAATGAAAAATAAAGAGCGAATACCAACAATGCAAACAACAAATGATCGATTACCTTGGAAAACAACTATGGTCTACCAAAGACTTTTTTCTTTACGTATTTTCTATCAATCGATATTTTTGAAACCAGGAAACCTCCGCAAAAAACAGGAGTTCACCAGGAGTTTTGCTTCTTAAACCAGGAGAAAAACTAGGAAGTTATTTTTGAAAAGCAGAGAGCATTCACTGGCATTGTCATTCACAGAAGCATTTGCTAATTACTTCTAATAAAGGACTGATAGTAAAATTTCCTGACAAGCAGTATAAAAAACCAAGCAATATTATTACACGTATATTGTAAAGGGTGGGCCAGAAGAAATTGCCGGCTTTTGATAGACTGTTTTCTCAAGTTAGACTCGATGAGGAAATTTCGTTCTGATGGCAAAAGATAGAGAATTTCGTGTAGATTTTATTGATATGTTCGTTGCGAAATAAACATTTGTCCTTCTGTTGTAATATTAAAGGAACTGGATACTACGCAAACATCACTTGCTCAACTGCAAAATGAGACACTTTTGAACTCAAATTTTTGCGCAGTTAGTTGTAGTTCAAAAATTTCTTCTTGTTACTAACCGATGCAGAATTTTTCGGTGTACCTAGTGGTATCTTGATTTTTTAAGCTTAATTGTTTTCGCTTCAAAAAACACAAAATATTAAGAAAATACCCTCGGTCAACGAAATCGTACTTTTCGTTGCCAATTTTCTCCAAACTTAGTTTTACAAAAAACTACTCTTTTTATATTAACAGGTGTAGAATTTCAAGCTCTACAAAATGCTCCTCATTATAAGAGCTGAATTCCTTTTCTAAACTAGTAATGAGGGTGAGATCTTTTGCCTGATATAAAAAGGCACCAAAGTTGGACAATTAGGCATTTTTTGCAAGCGGTTTTTCTAATGACGAAACTTTGTCTCCAGATTCGGTATTGGGTCTCAAAAATAGATACGCCTCTGTGCTTTATGACACCACATTTGAATAGTGAATGTAAAATCATTTAACAAAGAAAACTAACCCTTTATTTCAGTAAAATGCTGAGCAAATGATGTTTTTGTGGTATCGAATACCATTAATGCTACAAGAGAAGAACAAATGTTCATTTCGCAACGAACATATCAATAAAATCTACACAAAATTCTCTATCTTTTGACATCAGAATGAAACTTTCTCATCAAGTCTGACTTGATGAAACAGCCTATGAAAAGCCGGCAATTTCTTCTGGCTCACCCGTTATTATTGATCTTTCAATTAACATTATTTACAGGTTGAAGTACGATTGAAGATACAAAATTTTATTCTAATGAATTTGGAATTTCACTAACATCATCTTCTTGAGAAGGGTTCATTGGAAAATCACATTATATATATTTTTTTATTATCTTTGTGTACGAAAAAAAATTCCAGTTTTGAACAAAAAAGACAATGGAAGGGGGAAGCAACTTATTTTCCCACCGTTGTTAAGGTAGCCCTCTACCCATCCGTCTTGGTCACTGGAATGCCCATTTTGTAGAACACTTGCAGAAACTAAAGCAAGCATCAGATTCAGAAACAATACAAATCTGTTTTGTAGTGAACTTCATAGACTATCAATTGATAAAAAGAGTATTTGGTTTTATTGCTCCATCTTTGAAATATCGGGTCTGAAAAATTGATGATTTTTTAAAACAAAATTGGGTGTGGGTGTAGGTGTGGATCTTCTCTTCAGTCATACCCACATCCACATCCGCCCACACCCACACCCCACTTTTCAGGCCAAAAAGAGTTACAATAATAGGTTTTTTTAGAATAGTGATGCTCTATTAACTATCAATAATCAAATCGTCGAATAGAAATGCAATGAGAAATATTTCATAGCAATTTATTGTCTATTTTTGAACTATCTCAACCACTGCATATTATACAGTAATGAATATCGATTTGTGTATTTCGTATGAAACGAATTTCGTTGGATGAAAAATGTAAGTATTCTTCTATTTCTTTGTCACCAATCGTCATCTACTCTGCCAGGAATGTTTTGTTGTTCTTATGTGCAATGCTTCTCAATAGCGCGCACACTTGAAAACAAGTTTGACAAGAACGGAAAAAAAAGTAGGTAAGCAAGCAAAAAACGGGACGCACAACGCTGCCATGCTGCAGAAAAAACAAATCATTTAAAAAAAAACGAGTAAACGGTGTAAGACGCAAAAACTTCTCATCCACAGTTAGATATTGTTGAAATTACGTAGAGCGTTTCATCTTCAATTATTTGACTGAAGTAAGTAAATTATTAGGAAGATTCGAAAAGAAAAAACGACTATTTTGAATGCTATACAATTATCGCCAAGACGCCACGAATATTGAAAAAGATTTGAGACAGATATGACACTGGTATTTATGATCGATTCTACTTAAGACGATCGATTTGTTAATGTATATTAGATTACTGGTCGTGTTCATTCACTATTTCGTAATAGTTTCAATTTGTTTGATTTTTTTTCATTCATGTCAATTCTATGACATTTTCTACATCTATTATGATTTTTCTACCTATTATTGTGACCTACTCTATTCAACAATTTCAATTAGTAAATAGATAAGAAATCAAATTAAATATAATATAACTGCAAATTTGATGGGACTACACTCTGAAAAAAACACGGACACAATGATAAATTTCGGGTGTAAGGTAAGAGTAATAGTGAAGAAGCTTCTGGTCGAAAATTACTCTGCACAAATGCAGGCCAAAACCTATTATTCAAAGAAAGATACGTGATAATAGGGTGTGGATGAAAAAAGACCTACACCCACATCCATCTTACACTTTAGAGGTGACACCAAAATTAGTTCTATTTTCACACTTGAATATTATCATCATCATCGACTAAACTTGAAGTATTTTTTATTTTATTTTTAGGTTAAACTACGCTTCAATCATCTCATTATTGATTCTTTGACATGGCATCAAGTAATTCAGGTAGAAAAACTATTCTCTCACCAAGAAAACGAACAGATCAGCGATTTGATCACTTGCTTGATATGCCTTGACTCTCATACCGATCCACATATACTTCTTTGGTCACATATATATTGTCTTTGATGCAATCATGACATAGCTACTAAAAGCAACGATCAACTCGAATGTTCATACTCTAATGAAACTAGGATTAGGAAGGATTACGTCGACTTTTAGCCGATTAACCATGTCGTGCGTAATATGGATGAATTTTTGACGAACGATGATGAAAAGGAGGGATTGAAAGTGAGAAACATCTGAACATGTATTTTTATCTAATTTGATTTCAGAATATATTGCGCTACACTGAAGGCTGACGACTATCTCTCAAAGTCTTGTATAGACTGGTTCAGAATCTGCAGAATGTTTTTTAATCTAGATCACCAAATATGTTGCTACTTTTTAGATGAGTAAATTTTGTTTTTGAATGAGAAATAGTTTCCATTGATGATTTGAGTGTAATTTTCATGAAGTAAAACTTTTGTTTTTGAACATACATGGTGAAAAATGATCAATTTGAATTTTATTAAAGCTTGATTTTTATCATTGCACTATTGTATTTGTAGTACATTGAGTTTAGAGGTTTTATGTTCGAGGTTTCGATAAAAAACTTCAAATTGAACATTTTTCGGTTTTTCATCATTCATATTATTCTGTATTTTTTACTTATTCGAAACAAGACGTATACTGGAAAAAAGATGATGCAATACGGAACTTTACGAGAGTTTCGAATTGGTTGTAATGCTCGAAATTCTTATTTTTTTTGCAGTGTGTTATATGTATATTGGCATAAAAATTTATCAGATGATTTTAATTTATCATAATCTTAAGTTCAGACTAATCTTTTAATTCTCAATAACTGTCACATCATATTGTTTTGCATATAGCATTGAAGAATCAATCAAACTTTCATTTATACTAATGAATATTCTGATTGTCACTATCTTTTTCTATAATTGTAGCTGTTATACAATGTTCTAACAATTGTTCGATTAAAGCTGAACTTTGGTGTAAGAAGTGTGAAAATAGTTATTGCTTGAATTGTAGCAATATTATTCATGCACAACCAGCTTTACGTATGCATCAGAGAATTCCAATTGAGCAAAAACCTTCAGAACCTGTCCGATGCAAAATACATCCAGATGAAAAGTTAAAGTATTGGTGTTGTAGCTGTGAGGAAATGGTCTGCCCTGAATGTCAATTGTCTATACATCACGATCATAAGATTATAGCCATTATTCACCTTGCAAAAGAGATCGAGAACGAGGTCAGTATTCAATAGTGCATACATTTCTTTCATAAAACAACTTTTCATATAATTTAGTTGAAGGAAAGATTAGAAAGTGCACAATTACCTTTGGAGAAAGCTTTAGAAAATGTGGAACAAATCATCAGTTCGAGTGGAAGCATTAATAAAGACAAAATCACTGAGATATTTTCATCTATACGTGCAACAATCAATGAGAGTGAGAGAATGCTAAAACAAAGTATTGATGAAATCGAAAACAAGTATAAGAAACTGTTCGAAGTATATCAAAGTACACTGAACTGCAAAAAGCAGATGCTCGATCAGTATAGAAAAGAATTCACAGATATTCTTTCGACTAATGATCACGCAATGCTAATAAAAGCGAAGAAAACATTGTCCGATAAAATCAACAAATTTACGCTAGACTTGAAAAAACTGAAACCACCCGTCAAAATCCAGTGTAATGTCGATGGCATGGATGAATTACAAACAGCTATGAACGATGGTCTCAAGCGTGTGAGAATCGTGCAGAAACAAGGTAACTGGTCTATCAGTTCCGAATTTTCATGAAAATCTTTCATTTCTCATCAAGTACATTATAAATTTGAGTGAAGAATTTACCACAAACGATATGATAGATTCTTGAATACATATAATAACATCATAATCTTCGTCAAGACTGCTCTAAAACAAAGTTGCTATTAATAAAAGTATAAGCAAAGTTTAGAACGAATGACACATACGGATTATTCTGTTCATATCTATTGTTAATTCATTTATTCCGTGATACCGTGTACTCGTGAAAGCTTTAAAAAAACGAATGACTATTTTGTATCATAGGTGCTTCGATAACAACTTCTATAGACGTAACAAATGCAAAAGCACCGAAAGATCTCAATCAAGTTCAAGTAATTCAAATAATTTTTAAGTACTTTTTTAGTGCTTACACTTATCTACTACTATTTATAGATCGATACAGCTGCAGCAGCGGCCTCTAGTATTGTAAATACTGGAGTTACCTCCAGTTTCAAAAAGGTCAAGTGATAATCATTCTAGAAAATGAATATCCATCGTATGTCTTATACTTACAGGTATCCGCCATGGAAATTAATACTCCAGCAACTAAAGGTAGAATACTGTTGATGAGAGTTGAAAGAATTATTCGAGAGTGACGATTGACAGAATGTTCACTCTATTTTGAAGCGTATTTTTTATCGTTTTTGGGAGAAAACTATTTTATTCTTTCTCTGATTGACGATGGTCAACTTTTCTTAGAGTAGTATAAACAGAACGAATACATGCATCTATGATTAGGAATTAACGTGCCTAAATCAATTGAGTACACCATTTCATGAATGTCTCGATTCAGATAAACTACATTTACATATTACATGTAAAACTGTACATAATTTTTCCTTGTTAGTTGGAATTCGCAAATTCATTTGATTCACTTTTTTTCATATATGTTAAAACTTATAGCTTCGAATGATATCCAAACTAGAGCAAACTCTCAATCATTATCATTTCATGTTAACAAATACTACGCATATTTTTTAGACCAGTCAAAAATTTCATTGATTTTCTTTGGAAAAAAATTATAAGAAAACAATCAGCAATTATCTTTTTAATATTCAAACTCATTTTCCCTCCAAATTGTAGCGAAAACTGCGTTACATGATCTTTTCACATTCATAAGTGTCGATCGATCGATGCCTCCTTGCCTTGAATGAATCGATAATTCTATATTTTCTTCTATAAGTAGATTTTATTTTGAGAGAAGTTCATAAAATACAACATGTCAGTAGATAGTATTTTTCATTTATTCATATACACATTTGAATTGAATTTCATAATCTAATTTAATATATATTGCTTTCATTTCAATTGGATCATTGTCTAGCCAAATGGAGTTCTAAACCCACTTTTGTTCCATGAACAAACTAGAAGTATTTGGTTCTATGTTAAGATTGAAAACAGAATAGAAAAAAATGTAATTTTAATTGGATTTAAACTTGATAAAATTGAAAGAATTCTGCTCAGACAACATCAATAACCAACTTCACACCTCTTTGCAATCAAGAAGATTTAGTTTTTTACAGTATGAAACATGGTTTAAGTAAAATCCAATATGCATTAATAGAGATCATGATAGAGCGTTTCTAAGAAGATAATTCATTAGGTCCTTTATTTCTCATAAAGATTAAGATAAATTTACACACATATTTACTTAGGTCATTCCAAAAATACTGGCAGTAGTACTTTGGGTGTATAAGCGGGGAGATCTGCAGTATCACCCTGAAAGAAGATTCTATTGTTTCTGTCACTATCAACAAGACTCATATCTGCTTTCAGGAAGCCCCCGGATAATGATAGGATTGAACGATTGTCTTTTATCACAGGCACTTTGACAACGACTGCTACAGACAAAACCAAAGCAAAAGACGAGATACACTCGAGTGAAATTCAAGTAATTCAAACAATTTTTTTAGTATTCTTCTTTTTGCTCACACTTATGTCTTTATGTTTATAGATCGATGCAGCTGCGCCTGCCGTTTCCCATACTGTAAACACTGGAGTTAACTTCATCGCCGAAAAGGTCAGGCGATAATCGCTCTAGAATATGGATATCCGTCGAATGTCTTTTGCTTGTAGATAGCCGCCTTTGAAACTAATGGTCCAGCATCTAAAGGTAGGATGCCGTTGATTATCGCAGACAAACATCTTTAGATCATGTAACTTCTTCAAAGTTGACGCATTTGAAATTACTCGATTTTTGTTAAGTAAATGATGATGATGAAGAAATGTGCCCTAAAATAGATCGAACGAAACAATTTTTATATGATTAGCCACAATAGCTATATTGTGTTTTCCATTATAATCTGAAAGGAGCTACATAAACAACTTTTCATCCTGGATTTATTTATACCTTGACGTTATCTCGATTCGGGTTTTAGCTCGATGTGTTGAATATTCTCTTCGTAGACTGAATGGTGCTTGAAAATAACTTTTGAACGGAACTGAAACTCTTAGAAACTCAAAATTTTATTGCACATCCAGTAGAAATTAAAAAAAATATGATAATTTCATCATCACTTCACCATCTTTCGGTGATGGTTTAGATATTTGTTTTTCATTTTCCTCCGCTGAAAAACATCATATTAGGTGCGACAGTCTTTTTGGCCAAACAACTATCATACATATAAGAGTTGTTCGAGGATAAGACCTAAGAGAATCCTCCGAATCCTCACTCGATTCACAAACGTAAACACAAAGAATGTTATTATTTGGACTAACATTTTGAACTGTGCAGAACAAAAGGCTAGAACAAAATCACCTATAATTAGAAATCAGCACACTTGAATTGATGAGTTACATTGTAGTGTCCATCGGGAATGATATTTTCTTATTTTTCCCGTTATATTTGTCGCAGAAATAGGGAACGAGAACACATGGATGGCAACGATATTGAAACGTGGCCTTTCCTGAAAATTGTTTTATTTTTATGTTTATACCCTATAAATCTTGCTCTTTCAAATAAATGAATTGCCTAATGTGTAAAGTCATCGAGATAAGTTCCGATTCTCGAGGGTTTTATAATGATCTTTGAAAATATCTGAACAACATGAAATCTAAAGCAATCAGCAAAATTTTCTTGTAGAGTTAGATCTATGAAGTGAACAAATATTTCTTAGAAATGACCAATCTTGCGCATATTAGACATGCACTTTTGAGATCTCCAATGGATTGAGAGTGTTAGAGTAGATTTTGTCTTCACCGACAACTATGCATCACATATTCGTAGTCAAACTACTTTCAAATGAGTATGCTGTTATTCGTTATAGAAACAAGCCCAAGAAGACTGCCAGGTTTTCTAAATATCGGTAAAAATAAAAAGAAATATCTACGACCAGAGATATCAGCACCAATTCAATCGACGTATGTCAAATACAATTTTTTGTAAAATAATTTATAAAATTTTCTTTCAAGAATGGTTCATGTAACTCATATTGGTGAGAAAGATGTATGTGAAATTACTTTTTCTCTGTCTATTATAACTAATATATTTTGTTTTTCTATAGATGTATTTTAACAATGATTCAGCAAAAGAACAGTACTTAAAAACAATGACTTCTCTGCATACACCAGAAGAAAATGAATTACATATTTTGGAAACAGAAAATCATGAAGTAGTTCCTACAATTTCATCAAGATCAGATAAACGCGCATCTGATAATAAAAATCAGACCGTACAAACTTCACTGAGTTCAACATCAACACGTCGACCTCCGCCACCGCCACTGATTAAAGAAGACTTGTAAATATATATCACATCTTCAAGTTGTAAAAAAACGAAAACAAGTATTTTTTCTTTTCTTAATCATACCACATCATAAAATAGAGTCAAGTAAAAGTTCCTCGTGATCGATGTGAAATTAGCACAACGGCCAATCATACGTCAGGTACAACCAATCAGTAGAAATAACAGCATTAAACACATATTGCAGGACACCAAATACCTAGATATTTTACGTAGTTATCGGCAGTCTATTCATTCAAAAACAACCAAAGCTGCTGAAGTCACTAAACGGAACTCAGTTTCTCGATAAATATAATATATATGAACATTCTACAATCTAAATCTGACATCATAAACACAAAACCTAACATTATCGAACATAAATCTAGTATTGTCAATGGTAGGCATGTCGATCATGGAATAAAACACTGAAAAAAATTCATCGAAATGGCTATTTACAGAGTTTTCAGCAAAAAAATTCATGATTTGATTATTTCGAAAAAAAATGAAATCATTCGTTCCATGAATTTAAATCTCATAAGAAATTGAAACTATCGCATCACACCCGTTATTTTTGCATCAAAGTGTAGCTGTTGAATGTAGACTCATTTCTTCTGTAGTGATGCATTTCATTTATCTACGTTCTGATGGTCTCGGTGTTTATTTTACTTTATTGAAGTTCACGTTCGGGTCACGTGTAGCATTGTACTCTCTTCACACTGATGAGAAATTAAGCTTTTCTCAAAGTTCTATGTAAGATCCGTCAATGAACAATTGCTGCTATTTGCATTAGAATCAACGCCCAATTATCAATTGCATTATTTTTGCTAATAAATGTTTGACTGCCAAAAAAGATTTGCATGAAGTAGAGGAGGTAGATACGGGTTAATCAATACACATTCACAGCTTTCTGCACAATCTTAATTATGGTTACTATAGTACTCTATGTGCAAAGGATCGCTCAACAAAACAGTTCGAAGAAAAATGATGCACTTACATTGAAATGATTTATATTTCAAATAATAATCTGAATCGAAACTCGGCTAGTTCAAGTTTGATACAAGCATAGATGTATTATGTCAAATACCAAAAATCTTCCATTTACCAACAAAGTGCAGTTACATCCAATCCTGGGTGTTAAAAACTATTTAAAAAACTGGCATTAAAATGATGTATTTCAAATTCATCAATTAAAATAGGCATGGTCCATGAGCTTCATTGAATGATTTTGATTAAAAATGAAATTCACTGCATTTATTAATTAAAATGTTGCTTTTCATCAATGAATTTGAGCAAAAAAATCAATTTTTTTGTCCGGTTCATCATCAGAAATGCCATTTTTTTCGTGTTTTTGGTATAGAGCCCTTCAATCATACACAGCCGATGTTGTATAAAATTAATTTTCGAGGTGATTACTCAATTGTTGATGGCCACCCTTTATTTCGAAAGATATTTATGAAAATAATGATTGATGATAAGCTACTTGTTGACAGCAAGCATCATCGGATATATAACGGCTATAACTGTAAATGAAATCAACTGGATTTCATCCTTGTGCTCATTGTCTGAGACAATTTATCTTCCTGTAGGTATCCATATGGGCGATGTTGAAATAAGAGCCACTAATATAATTAAAACTATTGGAGGTATCCTAAGCTAGGGTGATGGTGGGTGTGGGTGTAGGTTAGAAGGAGATTCACACATATCCTAATATTTTTCTTCAATTCGAAATGAAGATTTGTGAGTGACTACATAATCAATCAATATATGGCAGGTGAATAATTCCTATCAGGAGTCTTGAGGGTGGGGGTGTGGGTGAGAGTTTGTTTGAACAATATCTTATTAACCACACTAACACCCTTTCTTCGCAGCTATAATATTTCAAGTATTGGTAAACTTTAAAGAATGAATTCAAAGAATTTGAGTAAGGAAAGTATGATACAAGGCGTGGCCGAGGACAAGAAAATGATTCTCTATCATGCAGTAAAACTTTTGCATACACAAGTAGAAGTTGCCATTGACACGACATGAAATATCTGTGCAATCTCAAAATCGATATTTGCCGTTGGTGAAACTTTCAGATACATATGCTTCTAAAAGAGAGCATCCAAGAATATGTTAAAACTATTTGCCATAAAAAATGCACTCTCACTCTGATTTACTCTCATCACATGATAACTAGTCACAGAAGCAAGCGGTGAACTAATATCTTATGCGAATATCGGCAGATGTTCTTCACTGCGATGTAAGTGTGAAGAAACGACTTTCATTTGTATATTTGCGTGTCATTGACAGTGAGATGGCCTATTATTTATTAATATTGTTCCTTTGTATTAATTCATATGGATGGATAGCTGCTAATGTCAAAATCAATAACAACACGTCTGATTCACTTTGGTCCACAGATCAAGGCAATTCTCAAAATACTTATCACATTGAGCCATCTATGCCAACTAATTATTCACAGAAATCATGGATCTATGAATACAACTTAACGTCACAGGATCTCACTCAATTCGGTCTAGGTGCTGGTATTAATGGTGATATTTACTTTTTCCTGAGTCTATCAAGATCTCATACAGGTAAATTATTATACTTAATACGATGATAGATATTATTTTTTCTCCTCACAAAAATTGTTCGATCATATATCTAAGCACACAATCAAGGTCTAGCAAAATAACAAGATAATGCGTCATATTTTACCTCAAAGTGTCTTACAATATTTTGAGATTGTATTAATTTCAGAGGAAATTTTATATCAGAAAAACACTACCTTAAATTAATAACGCTAATATTTGTTGTTTGCAGCTGATTTTCTGATTTGTCTAACACCAAATGGTATTGTTCGCTGGAAGGTCTATCTTGAGCCCGTGCCAGACATGTTTCCAGTTGGTGTTTCCAACATTGTTTCCGATCTACAAGGAGTACTGTTCTATACTGTTTCATGGACAGGCGATGAATATTATACAGCGAAAATCTGTCGAATCACAGAAGCCCAAACACCGCATCCTATTCAAGAATGCACCGAAAACTATCAACTGTACAATGATATCATTACTCCATTGTCATTGAATGAAAAATATGATCTTTTGGTGACGGCTGTAACCGATGATGAATTTGAATCCGTACCAGCTGTTTTGAATAAAAAGACACTGGCTGTACAATGGATAAATAGGCATTTTTTCGGTGCTGGCATGAGTAGACACTATCGATGTGATATAAATACGGGTGATATATTATGGATAGGTGGCGATCGTAACCTATTGAAATTTAAGTACGATGGACAGAATCTTATCAACAATTATACACAACCTAATGATGATGGCATAGATTTTGTTTTAGACAAGCAAAAGCAAATAATTATACGACCATGGCAGAATATGACTGATTTACCATGGAAGTATGTTGTGTCATCGTATGATGTGTCAACACGAGAAATTAAACTGCGCTGGAATTGGCATCCACCTTCGTTGATTGTTGCAAACGATGATATGACAACACCTACTATAGACGACAATGGCATAGTTTATATGTCTAGCATGCCTCTCGTATTTGCTATCGACAATTTAGGAAAAACACTATGGACAAGTGAATTGGCAACACCGAGTGAAATGAAAACATTTCAATTAATTTCTTTTTGCATTGCAATGAATTTAAAACGACGTACTCTTTACATAGTATCTGGTTCCCCAATTTATCAAAAATCCAAATTTCTCTATTTCATCACTGCTGTCAATATGGATACTGGCAAAGTAATTAAACGTATTGATGTTAACGTAGGAAGTAAAAAATACATTACACCACAATGTCCGATCTTAATTGGTGATGAAATGTTCTACTTTGCATGGCTGACGGGGCAGTATCCAGAATCAGTGCCTTTCAAAATAACTGGCATGAAGCAAGTCTAAGCATCAGACAACGAAGTTGGACAAAACGGGTGTAGATGGGTGTCTTTAATATTTATTAACCAGACCCATATCTCAAGCTATTTTGATCTAATAACTAAAAATATTTGAAAATATATTCAAGTAAAGCAGATATTAAAAGAATCAAAAAGAAAATATTTTCTTTTCAATCAGTATCGAATATATTTGAATCAAATATAGTTTTTGAGTAAATAGTCGCTTATAAGTAGTATTAACGAAACTCTTTTACTTAAGTATGAGCCAAATAAAGGCTGGTATGTCTAGAGTTGGAATCGAACAGCTTTTTCATGACCGATCCAGTCTCGTTGGTAATTTGTCGGTTCATTTTTCAGCGAATCTGGCAAAAATCCGACAAGTCTGCAAACAAAACATCACTTAATCATGTAAATCAGTGACTACATGAAATTTTCTACATCTACATCAGGAACCTCAAAGTAGCAATCAAAGATCAAGATTATCATCAGGAAAAAATCCAGGGTGTGAGTGTGAGTGTGGGTGTCGATGTGAGTGTGGGATGTGGATGTTGGGTGTGGGTGGGTGTGGAGTATGAGGTGGGGTGTGGGCGTGAATGGTGGCGTATGTATGATATTTTATTCACTCATACACGCATCCATACCCACAGCCACACCCACCCTTTTACCTAGAGGTAAAAGGTATCCAAGAGACTTCCTGACAAATTTCATGATGATACTTGATGGAGATGGAGGTGGAAAGGAAAATGAGAGTCAGACCGCATGAGCAAGTGTGAAAGGCATAGTAATCTTCACTCTCCTGATCAACTTCGTCAAAATGACGATAAAACTGACTAATAAAGTTTATGCGTTGTTTTCAATGATACCAGATTAATTTTGTAAAGTTTTTTTGATAGATATGTCACTCCTTGTATGCCAGTTATATGCCAAAAAGACGAGGACAATTTATTGAATATTCGAATATCTAGACATATGACAATATTTCCATCTTCACTATAGCACCATTTGTCTGTAGTAAGTGATATATGTCTGAAAATTTGAGATAATAATTAGCAAATATAGAGAAGCATTTTCTGTAAAATTCAAGTCGATCAGTTGAACTTTCACGAGATTATGACTTA